GGGGGGGCCAACTTCACGGTAAAGAAACAGGTATAACTACTAAAGGGAGGGGGTGCAAAAAGTTTAATTGGTGGTGCATATGAGTGCATGACAAGTACTAACTGGTGCATTACAGTAAAACTTAACATTTTCACTGGGGGGGGGGGGGGCTAGCGTTCATTTGCCCCCCCACAAAGAGATGGTTGTAGTTTCTCAAGGAAGGTGGTGCAAAAAAAATAATTTGTGGTGCATATTGGTGCATCATTAGTGCATTATGGTGCAATAGTTTTTTTTTTTTGAAAAATATCATTGGGGGGGCCAACTTCACGCACCTTATTTATTTAAATTAACAAATTATTTATAATTATAAAAGAAATGCTATTATTTATTGATTCTACACAAGAATAACCCATTTTAATGTATTGTGATGTTTGTTTACTTTAAAACAACAGTTTATTTATTAATAATTTATTTAAACACTTATTTATTTTATAACACAACTATTCTAATTTATATATACTTCGAATGTCTTTAAACTGATCACTATTTATATTCACCACTGTCTATCTACTAATTACTATTTATCTTCACTGTCCATATAACAACTGACTCTGATGGCTCATCCACCAATATTTATATAAATTTAAAAAAATGGCGAATGTTCTAGTAAGTTCACATATTCTCTCCAATACACTAGAAACATTATCTCGTTCTTTCTCGAACATCATCGAAATCACCTCCGCCATAGTCGTCCCATAGGTTTGGTCTTAAGGGGTTTAATTTTGTATAATATTCGGGCAAGTTGAGCCTCAAAGGCCAAATAAGACAGAGAGGGACTTGTAGGGTTAGAGCATGACTGAATAATGAAATGGCTCACATAACATTGCCCCCTCCTTAAGAGATAGTTCCTCCTGGAACTCTTGCGAAACTAAACTGGAATGGTTGTATTTGCAACTGAATCCTCTTTTACAATTTCCAGTTGCATGGAAGTAACAAGGGACCGTCTTCGCTCTAACCTGGGCACTGGGCGAATGGCTGCAGACCAGTATCCGAACTCCGGTATCTTGAAAGATTACTTCCACCATGTTCCTAATGATCCTCCAATCTAGCTGATTTCCTTCTATCTTCGGCATGGCTAGTTTCTGTACATTGGACTCCCGCACCCCTTAGACTAAGTAATGCTTCCCATACATCCTGATAGGTGGATCGATCTCGGAAGGTGTTCTTCGTTATTAAATAGAAAAGATAACGCGACCCGTCTTGAAGTTTCAAGGCTTTTCCAGGGGCTGGTAACTGATATTGAAGTTCTACCAGTCGACCAAACTTCTTACGGAACACATATGCCAGTCCTCGCGCGTCGTTGACGGTGGCGGAAGTACTATGAACCAACGAGTAGTCTTTCGGAAGCGAGAGCAGATCTTGTTGTTGCTCGGTCGTAACACCATATTTGGCTTTTCCAGTTGAGCCTCAAAGGCCAAATAAGACAGAGAGGGACTTGTAGGGTTAGAGCAAGACTGAATAATGAAATGGCTCACATAACAGTATGTTTAATCTCAATAACTAAAAATGTACTGACAATTAGTTTGACAGAATTGTCACTTATTTAAAATTTTAAAAATAATAGCAGTCGGTTGATCAAAATATGAACGGTGATTGGCGGATTTCATTTTTTTGCAGTGTTCTCACTACCTAGAATGGATATGAAATATATTCGTTCAGTTGACGGCAATAGCATACTTTTTCGTTTTGTAATTTGTGCGTAGATAAGGTTATATCCATGTGGGTGTAGAAAAAAATATTAATGTAAAAATGTTAATTCGCAGATTTGCACTCGCATTCTATTGTTAAGGTAAATCAAGCAAAATAAGCAGAACGACATTTCTCATATATACACAGTGGCGGTTTGCCCGTAAGGACACTTGGGCACGTGCCCTAGTATAATAAACAAAAAAAATAACTTACATATTTTATATTTTCCTCAATACCTATTATTATTTTATTTATTCAGCGCAAACCGCGTTGGCACGACACTGGACGATCGGGCGTTGAGCGACGTTCCGAGAATTCCGAAATTAAGTGGAAGATGGGAACAGTAAATGTGTGCCTCTGTTGTTTTCTCTCTCATTAGGACAACGACAATATCGCTTTGCAAGAGATGAACACATGCGATGGATTATACGTCACAAGCAGGGCGCTGTCCTCATCGTAACGGGCTGTACCCATGGCACAGATTACCTAGACCAGATACGAATGTACGCAGAGGCATCTTTACCGGCTCCCTCACAAAGGCGATGCCGGTTTCAGCTTAAGGTGTGCGTTTGTTGGACCATGATAATAATTAATTGGACCATTGGAATAGTTAAGAAATAAAACTACAAAGATAAATAACTTTTTTGTTATAAGGCAGTCAAAAATATGATGAAAAAAATCAATAATATTTATAAATGGGACGTTAAAACTGTGTGTAGTTTATTTCCAAACGTAAACAGCTTAAAATTCAAAAACGAACTGTCCATACTTAACACCCGAGATGACTTTGTGCAACACAATGGGGCCATACCGTTATTACAAATGTTTTTTGAGAACAATTTGACAATTACATTTTCGGAATCTGTGGAGCTGCTAACTATCCTGTGTATAATTCCCATGACCACAGTGGAGAGTGAAAGATGTTTTTCGACACTAAAACGTATTAAAACAATTTTAAGGAACACTATGTGCCAAGATCGATTGTGTGCGTTAGCCATGTTATCCATCGAAAAAAAACTTAATAATCTGGTCATCGATCACTTCGCTAGCTAAAAAGAATAATGGACTTCAACTATAAGAAATAGTATACAACTGCAGCGGTACCTAGCAGTTAGTCTTCAATTTTGTAATATTTAATTTGTTTTGAAATATATTTAATTTTCATTAAGCGGAGAACCTAAGGGAAAAACGAATCCCGGGATTCCTTTCCAGTGTGTGCTCCACTGCCGCTAGTGCCCACGAGCCGCCACTGTATATACAATGTATTTCTGGGAATATAACTTCCACTAAGAACGGATTTTTATAAACATCACATTCTAAGGGGGGAAAGGGGGGAGAAAGTTTGTTGGGAGTATCGAATTTTTTAAAGGTAGGAATTTTAAAATTGGAATTGCAGCTACTCATCATAAATAAATGATAACGTAATACAAGGTATTTGAATTTTTACATTTTAAGGGAGGAAAATAGGGGTGAACGTTTGTATGGGAGTATAGATTTTTTAAAGGTAGGAACGTAAAAATTGGAATTGTAGCAGTCATCCTAAATAAATAATGAAGTATTTCAGGATTTTTGGATTTTCACATTTTAAGGGGTCAAAGTAGGGGTGAAAGCTTGTATAAAAAATAAATAAATATAAATAAATAAAAATAAATAAAAATAAATAAAAAGAAATAAAAATAAATAAAAATAAATAAAAATAAAATAAATAAAAATAAATAAAAATAAATAAAAATAAATAAAAATAAATAAAAATAAATAAAAATAAATAAAAATAAATAAAAATAAATAAAAATAAATAAAAATAAATAAAAATAAATAAAAATAAATAAAAATAAATAAAAATAAATAAAAATAAATAAAAATAAATAAAAATAAATAAAAATAAATAAAAATAAATAAAAATAAATAAAAATAAATAAAAATAAATAAAAATAAATAAAAATAAATAAAAATAAATAAAAATAAATAAAAATAAATAAAAATAAATAAAAATAAATAAAAATAAATAAAAATAAATAAAAATAAATAAAAATAAATAAAAATAAATAAAAATAAATAAAAATAAATAAAAATAAATAAAAATAAATAAAAATAAATAAAAATAAATAAAAATAAATAAAAATAAATAAAAATAAATAAAAATAAATAAAAATAAATAAAAATAAATAAAAATAAATAAAAATAAATAAAAATAAATAAAAATAAATAAAAATAAATAAAAATAAATAAAAATAAATAAAAATAAATAAAAATAAATAAAAATAAATAAAAATAAATAAAAATAAAAATAAATAAAAATAAATAAAAATAAATAAAAATAATTAAAAACAAATAAGAGGATTTTCTTATGCCCTGGTATAAAAAATATGAGGAGTGAATTGATAAAAACGACACGACATAGTATGTCGGTGTCCCGCACAGCCTAAAGCCCCCCACAGACTTCGTTCTTTTTCATCCGTTCGTATCGCTGCGATTCGGAACGTCGTGTCAAAAACCCCAAAAACTGATGTGTGTGGTAAAAAACCGTCGTGTCGCATCGTCGGTTAAAATATCTGCTGGCGCTTGATTTTTGGAACAACGGTTCGTCCATTATCGTTCGAAACCGATAGTGTGTGGGGATTTCGTTTACAATCGTCAGTTTTAATACAGTAGCGTATAAAGGGTAGTTCATACTTGTTTAATTCGCTTTGTTTATTTTTATTTCATTATTTACCATGGACCACAAAGAAACATATAAACAATTTCTTATTGATTTTATTGAAAGTTATAAACTATTTCCTTGCCTGTGGCGTGTAAAATCTGTAGAATACAGGGATCGAAATAAGAAGAATGAAGCATATGCAGTGTTACTAAAGAAATACAAAGAAATAGATAAAAATGCAACAACCCAAACTGTAAAAAACAAAATAGATTCTCTACGCGGCGCCTTTAGAAAAGAAATAAAAAAAATCAAAGAGTCTCAAAGATCAGGAGCTGGGACAGATGACATTTATCAACCAAATTTGTGGTATTTTCAATATTTAATATTTTTGAGTGATCAAGAAACTCCTCGAGAGAGCGTTTCAAGTATCGATAACAACTCCAAAGACGATGATTCGGTAGAAACGGTAAGTTAAATACAATACACTGTTTTATTTAGTATACACAGAAAAGAGATGTAAAGTTCATGTATATACAGGGTGTCCATTTAATGTGTCATACAGAATTGAATGGTTCTGATTGTTTCCGGATACTTTTATTTTCTTTATGAAAATATTTGTTTTCTTTTTCAGTTAGAATCGCAAGTTTGCGAGGGTGAGAATTCTGTAAACGATGTGATGTCTCCTTCGTCTTCGGCAGGAACAGAAGATACCATAATCACAGATGAAAACGATTTATCTACTGTTGCGACACCTACCAACTCAACGGTAACCCAACAAAGTTCAATATTTAAAAAGAAAGGACAAACACGAGATGTAAAAAGAAAATCAACACAGCTAGCAGACGAAGTGTTAAAAACCGTATCTCAGCAGCTCAATAATGCTGTTGATGATAAATTTGACACAAGTGGTAAAAATATTGCCAATAAACTGAGAACGTTGCCTCCTGAAATTGCAATTGTTACTGAGAAGCTTTTATGCGACGTTCTATTTGAAGCTCAAATGGGCAACATCACGAGGTTTACAAAAGTTATTTTACAAGTTAACCATTCTCAGTCTCAACATATTCAATCTTCGCAATCGCAGCAATTTGATTCTACGAGTACACAACAATATTACTCAACATTTGCTACGGATTTAGAGAATGTTATTAGTTTTTGAATTTGATACTAAATACCTAATTTTGTTAACTAGTTTTTACTGTTTAACCGAGTTTGAAAAACTATATTTTTTTGTGTAGTTAGATTTTTCTTAGTATTTGTAGGATTTGTTTTGTTGTTAATTTTAAAATAGGTTTTAACTTGTTACTTGTTTTAACACTGATACCTGTGTTATAAAATTTAAAAATATTTTTAATGCATTTTTTGCTTTTCTTAAAGCCAAGAATTCGGTTTTATTTGTAGGTAGGTTCTTGCCTTTTTTTAAAAATAATAAATACAATGTAATTTAGAAAGTGTTTTATTAACAAAAATTTTCGCACATTTTCAAAAACCAAAGAAATGTTTAGTTCCAAAACAAAAAATAGTTTTAAATACGATTATCTTGCCATGGTACGGCACCTTCATTGCAAAAGTAACATTTAAATAAATCACGAACAACTTTGGCGTCTTCAGAAACATGTCTGTTGTGCCCTTTTTGCAAACTTGGACAAATCACATCATTTGAATGGTCAGAGTCAAGGTAGTTAGAAATGTAGTTGACACCTCTCTTTTTTCTTAAAAAGTTATGCAGAATGCAAGCGGCCATTACTACCTTTTCTGTATTTTCTAATTTTAAATTTATAGCATGGAGAAAATTTCTGAATTTTGCAGCCATAATTCCAAAATTATTTTCCACTACACGACGTGCTCTATAGTTAAATATGCGTTTTTCTCTGTCTAGTTCTTTTTGACCAAATGGCTTTAAAAAGTCCTTCCTTAGGGAGAATGCTTCATCTCCAATAAAAACGTAGGGAAGTAGTTTGTCAGTATTGGAAGGTTTAGATGGTTCGGGTATTTTTAAATCATTATTTATTTATAAGTCTTCTGTAAAATGTAGTATTGTCAATAACTCCTCCATCAGATATTCTGCCATTTGTTCCAAAATCTACCATTATAAATTCGTAATTGGCATTTGAAATAGCCATTAATACCAAACTATTACTTCCCTTGTAATTGTAATAGTAAGATCCACTATTTGGTGGTGGAATTATTTAGACGTGTTTACCATCTACGCTGCCCAAGCAATTTGGAAAATTCCATTTTTCTTCAAATTCTTTTGCAATTACTTTCCATTCTGATTCAGACTGGGGAAACTAAAACAAAATACGACAAATCAAAAATTGTTAAAGAAAAAATGCCATACGAATAATAATGACTCCCAAAAAATAAAAATATTTTATATAGTCTTCACTGTTCCAAAGATAAATAATAAGAAATATCGGTGGGTTTATGCAGCATAGATTTAAATTTAGTATTAAGAATAAGAATTAAAATAATTCTTAAAACTAAAATTAATTCCAAGGTGCATGAACACACCGATATTTCGAAGAAGTTTCTCTATTGGCAGTTACAGATAATTTTTTTACATACCTTTAAATAATCCTTTTTTAAAACTTTGTAAATTGAATTGCACGTTTCCGGGATAATTTGTCCTAAAGATTGTGGAGAAATTACTGTTGAAAACTTTAAATCTTCATAAGATCTTCCTGTTGCTAGGTAACGCAAAGTTACTGTAAGCCTTTCATGTGGAGAAATGGCTCCCCTTAAATGGGTGTTCTGTTTAATAATATAAGGTGTCACTAGCTGTAACAATTCTACATACGTATCTTCATCCATCCTTAAGTAATTAAACCAATCTTCTGGTGCCAATTTAAGTTCACTTAATAAATTAATATGCGAATACGTTCTTCGCTTCAAAAGCCATTCTTTGACCCAAATTGATCTTCGTTTTTTTTTGTTTACTTTGCTTAAAACGGCTACTGCCGCCGCCACTGCTAACAAGTGCTTCTTTTTCATGACGTAGTATTTAAACTAGGTTGAGAGAAGGACGATCAAATATTGACTATGATTGTCCGTAGTGTGTGGGCAAAAATTTTCGGCGATTCAACGCGACGTTCCGAATCGCAGCGATACGAACGGATGAAAAAGAACGAAGTCTGTGGGGGGCTTAAGGGAGGACTGCTTTTCTCACGAACAGTTTTATGTGAGAGCGAGCTTCGCATGCACGCATGCACGTTTCCGGGATAATTTGTCCTAAAGATTGTGGAGAAATTACTGTTGAAAACTTTAAATCTTCATAAGATCTTCCTGTTGCTAGGTAACGCAAAGTTACTGTAAGCCTTTCATGTGGAGAAATGGCTCCCCTTAAATGGGTGTTCTGTTTAATAATATAAGGTGTCACTAGCTGTAACAATTCTACATACGTATCTTCATCCATCCTTAAGTAATTAAACCAATCTTCTGGTGCCAATTTAAGTTCACTTAATAAATTAATATGCGAATACGTTCTTCGCTTCAAAAGCCATTCTTTGACCCAAATTGATCTTCGTTTTTTTTGTTTACTTTGCTTAAAACGGCTACTGCCGCCGCCACTGCTAACAAGTGCTTCTTTTTCATGACGTAGTATTTAAACTAGGTTGAGAGAAGGACGATCAAATATTGACTATGATTGTCCGTAGTGTGTGGGCAAAAATTTTCGGCGATTCAACGCGACGTTCCGAATCGCAGCGATACGAACGGATGAAAAAGAACGAAGTCTGTGGGGGGCTTAAGGGAGGACTGCTTTTCTCACGAACAGTTTTATGTGAGAGCGAGCTTCGCATGCAATCTGGTGATATTAACAGTTGAGAATCGTAACAGAAATGTGGTATACAAAGAGAATCTTAATCAGATTAATATACTTAAATTTTAGAATACTCCACTTAATTTTTATCTATAATACTATCACCGTGACCCTAAAAAACATACCGCCCATTTTATTGAAAAGTCGTGCATTTTTTATATTAAAAACACGACTCCACGCGTGCGAAGCCGCGGGCAACAGCTAGTAAATCAATAAATTTTTCCATAATATATACACGGTGGGGATTTTAAATGAAACGCTACTTGTGCCGATAAGAATTTTGTAAAATCCGAAAACACGTAAACTATACAACAATAAACCTGCGTTAGTGCTAAGCGTTGAAAAAAACTACGTTTTTATTTAAAAAAGAAAATATTCGTTTCCAAACTAGTACTACTACTTTTGTATTTATACTTCTTATTCTATTTTTCGAGAAACATCCAACTTTTTTGTGGTCTCATAATGAATGCGAATATTGAAATAATGTTTTAATATCAGTGCGTGATTTTCAAAAATATCGCCATCAAGAATGTGATCCCAAAAAAAATTGAATATGTTAGATTCTAAGGTTTTTACAGAATTTAAAATAAATATATCTAAAACCCTCAAAATGCTCCGAGCATAACACTCATTTTCTTCCTACAAGTGATAACCAAATATTTCTTGTATGCCTATCAGTTGGGAATCTAAAAAGCATATATATTTTACCACTAAAGTCCAGACTAAAGTGTTTCCATTAATAACATTTTTTTTTCCAAAATAATAACGTTGAAATGTCAAAGGAAATAAATAATAATAAAGGTAGATTTATGCTGCGTTTGAATATCCACATCGGATGAATCTGAGTTGTAAATATTTGATCACGTGATTCAATATACGTAAATGTATATAGTAGGACAGATGTGTCCGATGTGGATAAACAGATGCTCGAGATGTAAAAAATGCATCGGATGTGGATATTCAAACGCAGCAAATACATGTGATAGTACTACAAAAATTTTTAAATCTATACCACTGAACAATACAATACATCACCTAACCTTACATACTTATGAAAAGACACTTCAGCACTCACATTATCCAGTTTTTTTGCACAAAATGCACTCGCTAACCATGTTGTTTGCTATACAGTAAAACTATAAGCCGAAATATTCCCAAAAAAGTATAAAAATCAACAAAAACACCCAATATGGAACAATTTACTGTAAGGCAACGCCGCAAACTATCCATAAAATACTATACGTGACGTATTGTAGGAATGAAACAAGATTATTTTCAATTGCGGTGTTGTTAAAAATAATTAAAAATAATTAAAAATAATTAAAAATAATTAAAAATAATTAAAAATAATTAAAAATAATTAAAAATAATTAAAAATAATTAAAAATAATTAAAAATAATTAAAAATAATTAAAAATAATTAAAAATAATTAAAAATAATTAAAAATAATTAAAAATAATTAAAAATAATTAAAAATAATTAAAAATAATTAAAAATAATTAAAAATAATTAAAAATAATTAAAAATAATTAAAAATAATTAAAAATAATTAAAAATAATTAAAAATAATTAAAAATAATTAAAAATAATTAAAAATAATTAAAAATAATTAAAAATAATTAAAAATAATTAAAAATAATTAAAAATAATTAAAAATAATTAAAAATAATTAAAAATAATTAAAAATAATTAAAAATAATTAAAAATAATTAAAAATAATTAAAAATAATTAAAAATAATTAAAAATAATTAAAAATAATTAAAAATAATTAAAAATAATTAAAAATAATTAAAAATAATTAAAAATAATTAAAAATAATTAAAAATAATTAAAAATAATTAAAAATAATTAAAAATAATTAAAAATAATTAAAAATAATTAAAAATAATTAAAAAAATAATTAAAAATAATTAAAAATAATTAAAAATAATTAAAAATAATTAAAAATAATTAAAAATAATTAAAAATAATTAAAAATAATTAAAAATAATTAAAAATAATTAAAAATAATTAAAAATAATTAAAAATAATTAAAAATAATTAAAAATAATTAAAAAATTACATTACATCACTCTATCTATTACAGATTCTGTAGCTCATAGGATATTTCCCAGAATCCTACCATTACTATTAGAAATGTTTCGGGAAATATTGAAACAACTCTGCCCAAAATGCGTCGGAGTGGGAAACACTGCAAGGTACGAAAATTAATTGGTGTGTCACAATATATCTCGAAACTATTCTAATTAATAAAACTTGTTGCTATTAGTGAGTTATATGTAAAAACTATTTTTAAATATGAAAGGGATAAACTACACAGCCTGGAAACCGCGCATC